CGCTTTCTACGTTTTCCGTAGTCTTTAGGCACACATTATAAACCAACCTAAGGTTGGTCGGCTGTTGGCCTTCAAGGACCGCCGCACATTGCGAAATGCAGCTGAATACCCACCAAAGCCACATGTACCTACCATTTGCTTCCCGCTTACGAACAAACTACTAAAATGCTGTTTCAAGACCGCACGCATTTTATACCACGTTAACCATATGATAAAGTTTGGAAAAGCTTTGATAAAATGACGCTGCTTGCATCAACAACAATACCATTAAAGCATTTTATTTGCTTATTTTGCAACGGTGCTTGACCACTAAAGTCGTTTTACCAGGATCTTCTACACCTGTCTTGCATTTGTGCTAGTTGGGCCACAGTGGTGTGGAACTCATCGACAGAAGCAATACAAGCTTTTGCCCACCCACCTCATCCGGTTATTCTCGTTTTTTAGACCCTTGTTATTAGAAATCTGTCGTTCAGGCATATTTTTGGAACGCCTGGTACACTACAGTGCAGTATTTTTACATCCTCTCAAAGAGCTGTCTTGCCTAGAAGTATTTCTAATTTTGAATATAGGATTCTACAATGATCTTGTTTCACACACTTTGTAAGCTTGCTTATTAGCTAAAATATGGTAATGGTCAGTGTGCCCCTGAATACTTTGGGTTTCTGAGGTTAGTATGTTAGTTTGACTACTAACCAAGTTCATTCCGTTGTTTCTAAGCATAGGTGTTTTGTCAAATATTTCTTAGCAATTGCATTATTTCCCTTTTTTACAGAACAAATTTTCTTCAAACCTGATCCTCCACCAACTCTGTCCGTTCTTCTTGGCAGGTTTGTGCAACAATGTGCCCCAGGATTTCGTAACTATCATGTACTATCTGTGTGCACACATTTTTGGAAACTGGAAGTGCGTGGGGAGTTCGTGAAAGGTTTTATGACAAGAAAAGATGTTTGAAAACGCTCAGGATACTCCATTTTTATGTACTTTTCGACAGTCGGGAAGTAACAAGACGAACACTTGGCGTGCAAAATCTCGGCGTCCAAATCTCTCTGAGGAAGAGCCTTGTTGACCTGAAATAATTTGGCAACATTGTTACCGTTTTTTAAATGGGTGCAGGTAACGTAAGCATCATTACAAAAGGCGAGCAAGGCCATGCAGCCCTTAGGTATTGCCTTCTTATCAACAAACGTGCAAAGCGATGCTGTGGGGCATCCAGTCTTTGAATCTGCTTCTAAACAATCAAGAAGAGACGCTAAAGGTTTTGATAGATCACGTGTATCCTAGAAGTTGCACCAGTTCTGTCTGTGGTGTGATAGATGAACATTTCATAGGGTAGCATTGCGTTTGCCAAGTTGCACTACTTGTGTTCCAGAAAGGCGTACCATTGGGCCTCAAAAGGTGTGTGTAACAGACCGTAGTGTAGACTGTATTGTGCTACGGCTGTTTTTTTGAGCAGAGGATTCAAGACTAATTCAGATCATTAAACACTAACATCCGAGACCTGTGATTGAATTTGGCTGGAATTGAAGAATTAAAAAGAGTTATCAGGAATTGGGTCTTCGTGGGGCAGAAGGCGATTCACCCAACGATTGCTCATAGCGCTGCAAGATTAGGCGGCTTAATTATTTGTTACCGATGGCCCTTTGCCGCCCATCTAGAATATCGTCGTTTTTAGGCCCAATTAGAAAAACTAGAGATAAACAAAATTTGGCACGCCAGGAGAGAATGAGCAATTTTGCAAACCGTCTGGGTACAGTTGTTTCCGAAGACTTCAACGATGTGGCTCACGTGGCTCGCCACTTGCTTGGCTCAATCCACCGAAAACTGTGACACTTATGTTGTTAGTTTTCATTCATATCGTGTGAATGTGTTTTGTCACAGACTATCCCCCTCACTATTCCAGTTTTTCTGATGGTACGGAAGCGCTACTCTTCTTCCCTGCTGTTGTTGTTATTGATGAAAATGAATAAGGCCACTCATGTAGTATCCTCTATGGTATCAACAATTTTACATCCTTCACCTAACACTTAAGGCAAACATAACGTTCTAAGTGGCCAATCCATCTTTTCTCGGCCTCCAGCGGGCTATTTTCTTTGGCACTATGCTGTATCCTATTCTGCAACAGTTTAGCACGCGATGCTATTCCCGCGACTAAAACATTATGAGTTTTACTCACGGAAGTTAGCTGTTTTTGTCAAAATTTAGCTGCCGTTGGATGGAGTTGTAGCATAAATAGCCCCACTCTATACATCGAAAGATCCGTAAACTGACGTTGTGGTGGTATATTGCTTCAGCATACAACTACAGATATATCTTCGCAATTGATGGACGGTGTTTCGGCAAACTTAAATGGACAAACTTGACGGCCGCTTTACCGAATAAATTATCATTTGTCAACTACACACACCATTTCTAGATCACATACTCTCGGGAAAAGATTTGAACCCGTTAAGCCTGTTTGGTGTCTTAAGCAAATGATGTGATATTTTAATGAGTTAGTATTAAACAAGGTTAGTCTGAAGAACGACGTAGTAATTCAAAGCTAATTTGCCTCGTCAGTGCTTCTTGGGGACCAAACGGAATCCTGAAATTCCAAGTGGGGTTTTGTAGTTTGCGTATCACTTTGGTGGCTCATCACTGGGACCTCAAACAGCATTTGATTGCGCACGTGCCACTTCTTCTAAACATAGATCGCGTACACAAGGTTTAGTGTGATGTAAGGCCCAAGTGGCTCATGGAAAACCAACGACTGAGATTTGCTCAGGTCATACTCCTGCAGCGCCAGTTTTGACGGTGACCTCCTTGTGCGCCTTGATGAGTTTAAAAGGCTATTTTGGTGGTTGGTGGCACGAACATTGTCAGATCTCTTCTTTGAGTCATTCCCTGTGTAATATGACAACCTGATTTACCTTACTACCGAAGCTTATATCTAGATTATTTTGTAGCTGCATTATCTGCCCCACGTTGGAGACTTCTGTCTACGAACGAGTAGTGTATTATATTCAGGTGGCTAAGATATGGTTTGCTTGTAGTGCGTAGCTAGGCAACAAAATCTCCGCAAATTAGACTGTCCCGCGTCTACAACGTGCACGGCTTCGAGAGCATATCAATTTATCAGCTACAAGCCATGTACCTTAGGCTCATCGGTTTCAGCTGTCACAGTTGCGATCACCTGGAAACGGGATAATGTGTGGACATACAACCAAGCTTTGGAGAGATGGCATGTTCAGTTAGTTCGGGAGTTAGATTACTACGCAGGGAAGGCAACAGCTCTGATGCATGAGCGCCACTAGCTGTGTGATCGGGCAAATTCTTCAAATGTGATTAACCACTGGTGAGATAAGAGGGGTCTCAGGGTTCCCATCCAGGGAAACTGTAGTTGTCGACCCGAATAAGTTCACCTCTTGGTCGTTTCCAGTCATCACAGAGCCGGAAAAAAGAGCTCTATGAGACAGATAGTCTTTTGGCATGCGGAGTGCACGTCCTAACTAGCGTAGCCTGTGAAGCGTGAGGAATTCATCCATCGCAGGAGAGTTCCTTCTTTTTAAGATCATTTGGCGTACTTCGGCATTACTAATACGATGTTCTTACCATATCTGACCAATGCATCGGAGACACAGACGATCAACCACTGACATCGTTTGTATGCCCTCTGCGAGTAGAGTCTACGGCTCGGATCCATATGGATCGCATCACCGCAATGTAAACTCTACCACTGACAAATAAACTGACATCACCCCGGAGGTTGGAAAAACCTACCCTGGCCTTCCTTATTCGAGAAGTAAGCTTCTCAGCTAGTTCACTGCTGGTTTTTCGTGGAGCTCAAGTACAGATAAGATGAGTATCCGGGTCTCAAATTAGGGTCTTTTTATAAGAAGACTGACCACAAGCCAACAAGTGTGCCCGAAATATTGCAGTGTTTAGGCCATGAACTCACAGAGCAGAAGATTTTTGGTTCGAATTCAAACTCTTCATCTCGACTGGTCCTATTTAGCTTTGGGCGACCTGACAGCAGCTCAGCCGTCGTGCTTTTTTCGGATGCCATCAAAGCCACATTCTAAAGTGGTTTTACACCTGAATGATTACTTTATTGTTTAGCAAGGTAGGCAGTGTAGAATTACAATGAAAGCTAGAATAGCCACAACGTTGCGAGCCAGTTGTCTGTTTGCTCTACTCCTTAATATCGAGTAAAATGATAGCTGTATCAACTACCTAACTACCATGCCACCGAAGGAAGCACGAGGGCTGGTGTACTGTCAGGTTCCCCAAGCCTGGACAAGGAAAGTCTAGAGGTAGAGGTCGGGTTCGAACCATAGATCTTCCGGTCGGTAAATTCGCCCTCTAATCACTGAACCATCTCACCTTGGTAAAAGAGACCCCATAGATACTTCACGAGGATTACTGGGGTGCAAAAACTACCACATGATAGCAAGACGCAGTTCTTCTCAGATGGCAGAATGTCTAGAAAACATCTTCTAAACAATTTGAAACTCTTTTTTTTCGTGATTTCAAGGGCCTTGATTCAAAGTGACCGCTCAGTGACCATCATCATCATGTTTGAAAACCTAAAGTCAGCGTTCAATACTGATACTTCGTCTCACTCAACTGTAATTGATTTGAACGCCTCGATTGGAAGAAACTAGTTAAAATGGAGTGAGAATTGGTATACTTCGAAACACGTAGTAGCAGATCAGCGACAATCTCTGCTTTCTAAACGAACAACTGTAAACTCCTGCAACTGCACTACAAACATATCACAACCATATACTACTTACGGGCTTATTTTGCAGTTCAAAGGAACTCTCTTGAACGCACTTTTTCCTTACCAGAAAAGATTTTCTCGCCCACAGGAAATGTTGACTTTTACTGATACCTGGTTTCCCCACATTATGCCTTGAAAGTTGTTTTCAGGTGGGGCGGTACTAAGGTTGTCATTTTTGTCCATTCAGTTTTAGCACGTCCGTTCATTGTGCAGCAAATTGGAAGAACCAAACAAAGGTCAAATGGCGGCGAACATGAGTAATCTGTCGGGAGCAATGTGTCTGCAGGCGGCCGAGAATCTTCTGGAAGATCCAGGAGTGCTTCAAGTTGCTGACACAGGTGACGATGCAGAGACAACAATTTCCATGATAAAAAGTTTGCCAAGGTGAGTGGATCCCATGTGAACGCACCTGAATGATTACTTTATTGTTTAGCAAGGTAGGCAGTGTAGAATTACAATGAAAGCTAGAATAGCCACAACGTTGCGAGCCAGTTGTCTGTTTGCTCTACTCCTTAATATCGAGTAAAATGATAGCTGTATCAACTACCTAACTACCATGCCACCGAAGGAAGCACGAGGGCTGGTGTACTGTCAGGTTCCCCAAGCCTGGACAAGGAAAGTCTAGAGGTAGAGGTCGGGTTCGAACCATAGATCTTCCGGTCGGTAAATTCGCCCTCTAATCACTGAACCATCTCACCTTGGTAAAAGAGACCCCATAGATACTTCACGAGGATTACTGGGGTGCAAAAACTACCACATGATAGCAAGACGCAGTTCTTCTCAGATGGCAGAATGTCTAGAAAACATCTTCTAAACAATTTGAAACTCTTTTTTTTCGTGATTTCAAGGGCCTTGATTCAAAGTGACCGCTCAGTGACCATCATCATCATGTTTGAAAACCTAAAGTCAGCGTTCAATACTGATACTTCGTCTCACTCAACTGTAATTGATTTGAACGCCTCGATTGGAAGAAACTAGTTAAAATGGAGTGAGAATTGGTATACTTCGAAACACGTAGTAGCAGATCAGCGACAATCTCTGCTTTCTAAACGAACAACTGTAAACTCCTGCAACTGCACTACAAACATATCACAACCATATACTACTTACGGGCTTATTTTGCAGTTCAAAGGAACTCTCTTGAACGCACTTTTTCCTTACCAGAAAAGATTTTCTCGCCCACAGGAAATGTTGACTTTTACTGATACCTGGTTTCCCCACATTATGCCTTGAAAGTTGTTTTCAGGTGGGGCGGTACTAAGGTTGTCATTTTTGTCCATTCAGTTTTAGCACGTCCGTTCATTGTGCAGCAAATTGGAAGAACCAAACAAAGGTCAAATGGCGGCGAACATGAGTAATCTGTCGGGAGCAATGTGTCTGCAGGCGGCCGAGAATCTTCTGGAAGATCCAGAAGTGCTTCAAGTTGCTGACACAGGTGATGATGCAGAGACAACAATTTCCATGGTAAAAAGTTTGCCAAGGTGAGTGGATCCCATGTGAACGTAGTGTGAAAACGCTTGTCCCAACTTTGCCCTTAACGGCATTTTGAAGAAAACCTAAGTGAGCGCCTTCTGATATTCTAGTCACACAGTTCACAAAGCGATACGATCAGTAATCTTGATAAAGTGTTCTCAAGCAATGCATCCTTATCTTTGTTGACATTTATACAATTTCGCCTCCTCAAAGAATAAAGCATTCGGGGGATACTAGAATGTTACTTGCCAGAAAAACTTACCAAAGACTTTCTTCCAGGCGTTATTTTGGATCTCCATATATATGTTGTAACGAACTGTTGTCCCTGCTCCAGTGCCTTAGTCTCGGAAAAAGACTCGTCTACAAGGACCACAACTGCTTTATAACGAACAAGCGGTTGTAAAAATCACAAGGGGAATAGCGGTGTTTAAAGCGCATTTTGGGCTTGATCCAGGCTGACATGCCTGAATACTCGTCATTTTTGGTCAGTGCTGAGTTGATTGACTGCTTGCGCGTCCTGTCGGCAGCTGGCTTCTCCGGCCTCGATTCTTGAAGTTTTCCCTAATGCGATTTTGGTCGAGTTTGAGGGTCTCAGTGGGCTTCGGGCATTCTGGAATTAGTTTCAGGAATCTGACCTTTCTGACAATATGGCAAACAGCTGTTTTGTTGCGCAATGAATTACCGCTCCTGCTTTGTAATCGATGTGCCATGTGATCAACGTGTAAGTCATACACACAGGTGTACTGTGGTGAGCCTGCACTAAGCTTGAATAATACCCACCTGCAAGTCCGTAGTAAGCAAGGGTAAAGTCCCTTCTGTGCCCAACTTTCTTCTTTTATTCACAATGAGGCTTTCAAGTACGGCAGCGAAGCATCAGTGTCGAGCACTGCTGCCCATGATGAAGATGATAATGATGATGAAGGCTCGCTAATTACAGTTGACACCTTCATAGTGACATCTCCTTTTGAAAGCCAGAAATTATCCCTTGTCTTCAAAGGATGAAAACGTTGGTGGCCCAGGTCGTTGGCTTGTTCTTCGGGCTGGGCAATCCGATTGCAAAAGTAGGTGGCACAACCAACAACCCATTGTTACACACCACTACGCTCCCTAACAACGCACTCTGATTGGTGATGAAACGTTTGGAATCAAATTTTTCGATTCCAGAAACAAGTCAACGACCACAGTTCCGTCTCTGGAGGGCTGTTTTCTCGGGAACATTCCTTGCCGTGGTCTAATCGAATGAAGGGATAGGTACTCAAGGCTAATTTTGTAAGGGATGTGTACAAATTAGTTGGAAATATGTGAGGTTCACAGAACAAGTCAGAAGCGTTTATCATCATTTTAATATTACATAAGAAGACGCAAAGCGGAAATGAACTCCTTTTCTACGGAGTATCACTAACTGTGCAATGAATCTAAACAAATTCTTTTGAGCGCGCTAGGCTGTTGTCCAACAAACTAGTCAAATAGGTAAGCAATCAAGATCCCCAAAAAATCTAACAGGCGGGTTGCCGGTAAGGTTTGAAGTGTAGTTTTTAACCATGCAATGAAGGGGAATATATCACATAGATATGCCACTTGTAACTTGGGGACAAAAGGGACAGTCTATCTTTTCCAACCCCAACGTCGTTCCTTCACCGCATAAAACATGATCATCTAGTTTAATGTTCTGGCCTATCATACCAGACAAAAGTGAAAGACTCTCATGAAGGGCTCCACAGGTTAGGTGCATTGAAAGTCAATTAGATCGATTATCAACAACATTTGAGCGTTTCGAGCGAGAGACACGTAGCCGACCGCCGCACCAGATGACTCTCATTCTACAAATATTACATGTCCAGTGAAATAACGTATAAACCATTCAAAAAATAATATGAAATATTATACCGAGTTACCTTCTTTTCTTCTACTTTCTCTGATTTTTTGAGTATCAGTTGATGTCTTTGTTTAAGCTTGATTTCCATCCACTCAGTCGAACTTCATCTACATCATCATCATCAACGACAGCATGACATCAGTGCTCAACACCAATGCTTCACTGCCGTACAGCCATGACTTATTTGAAAGCCTTATTGTAAAGAAAAGAATAAAGGTGGATGGGGGAGGGACTTAGTGCTAGCTTAACACAATCATTCCGAGGTGCCTACACCTCCAGACATTCATTCAGGCAATCTGGACAGAAACTGACAACAAGAACGCCACTGACATCGGTTGGCAGCCATATCTTGTAGTGTCTCCAACCAGGCACAGTGAGGATCACGCGGTCCCCATCCTGGAAG